GTGTGTGTGTGTGTGCTTACGTGTAGTATATTCAAAATTATTTTATCTGACACGTGAAAACACCTTTTATTGTCTGTAATATAATGCTCTTCTATTTGATGCAAGAAACAAAGCGCACAGTATAATATCTGCGGAAAAAATGTACAAAAATGTGTTAGTTTTCCTCTTGAAACACTACTATAAAGTTAATAAGAAAAGGGACCCCCGAATTTAATGTCCACCTCCTAGAGGACTGAACCAAATGGGCGTGTAAAGTAACTTTCCCAAGAACACAAGGACAGACCGAGGGGAGCCTCGAGCCCCCGAATATCTGCTGTCTCATGATTTCGAGTCATGCGTCCTAACCTCTAGACTACCACCTCCACTATAACATATCTCATTAAGTGCAAATGAAAAGAATGAGTCTTTGAATTGATCGATTGAGTTATTCCAATGATCTTAAACTTCGGCAACCTTTGATCCTCTTCTCACTGCTAAACTGATTCGGCGGACTACTTTCCCACGGGAGAGAGCTCAAGTTTGTTCTGGTTCTTATATTCTGTGTCAGTGTTACTAAATATCGCCATTGTCTGCTCTGTTCTTGCCTAAGTGTTCTCATTATCATGTAAACAAGAACAGCAGCAGCTACAGCAGGTGCAACAACAATAGCAACAAGAACAGTAGCGACAATGACAAGGAAAAAGACAACAAAAAACAAAACAAAACAACAACAATAACAACAATTTAAAAAACAGTAACAAAAACAGTAACCATAAGAAAAACAATAATGTGAAAAGAAATACAACAACAGCAGAAAATAACAGCAGCAGCAGGCCAAGTATCAGGCCCAACAATAAAAACATCAGAGCATCGATAGGACCAACTACTATAACAATAACAATTGATAAAAAAACTACCACCGACAGCAAGCACTGCAAATACAGCACGAGCAGTAACAACAAAAACAATGGTAAATCAAACAACAAGAGCAGTAGCAACAGCAACTGTAGGAAGAATAGCAGCAGCAAAATGACACTATCATCATCATTACCAAGAGGATGTTTTGAGTTGGCACTGGGAAAAAGCTTGACATGTGAAACTCAAAATTCTGTATATCAAATTTCTCAAAACTGGGTACATGTACTGAAGAGATGTTTGCAATTCTATGATAGCGAAATGAAGAACAAGGGGGGAAATGGCCGCACGCGTACTCGACTATATATAGCGAGACTAATGTTTGTTCCGCCAATGAGGCGCCCATTGCGCGCACGCTTCATAGTGAAAGTTTTATGGAAAGCAAAGCGGAGGCTCTCGTGGCCTAGAAGTTAACGTTCTTGCCTCTCATTCAATAGGTCCCGGGTTGGAATCTGGACAGCGATGGAACATTTTCTTCCCTAAAATGTTCCCCTTTCAAATGCTTTCCTGCTCTCTAACAATATTCTGTGGTCTGCTTTCGTCTCTGCCTTTTGCCCCCACCCCTTCACATCCCTTGCCCCCTCCTGTGGGCTCCTGACTCTTTCTGCAGCCTTTCTACTGTTACACCTTGGCTCCTTCGTACTGATGTCTTTCAGCCACACCCATGATCTTCTGACAGGAAAGATCAACACCTCGCCTTCTCGGACAAGGGCGAAAAATCTTGGAGGTCACGTGTGCAAGTTGTGCGTGTTAAAGATCCCTTGGTGGTCCAAAATCGATAAGGGTAAGCTTTCGACATCACCTTGACAAAATTCAAAATTCCCTACCAACTGAAAATGTTTAATGTGTCCAGCGCGCTTGTATGACCTCAAGCAGTTGCGAGCGCCGTAAATCGCCCCCTAAAAAAAAAAAAAGAAAAAAAAAGGAAAAAAAAAAGAGAGCAAAGCGCGACTCCCAAGACAGTTCACGGACTAGGATATTGTTATCATAATACTTCAGGGTTTTTTTTATGGTAGCCTACTATCAGATTGGAATCGAGCAAAGTGAAATGTGGTCTGAATCATCGTCACATTCAACAAAGGTATAATATGTGTCTCTATACAACTCTGAAGTTGAAAAAAAATGACAACAGATATCCGTTCAGTTGCAGTTCACGACGACTCTGCAGAATAATAACCAACAAATGGTCATTGCAAAGTGACAATGGAAATAAGTAGAGAAAGATCAAACCTCTCTTACGCTTCACCTACTAGGGGTGTGTGAACGACCTTTGAATGCAGGCGAAATCAGTTGTTCGTGAAAATGCGAGCTGTTTAAAAGATACTCAACCAATAGAAAGCGTTGTGGGCATAAGCCGAATCCTTTGCAAGACTGCTAAGAACGAAACAAAATAATACACTACAAACATACCCTTAGAGTTGCTTAAGAGGTTCGCACGAAAACAACTATTCACACTGACGTGAACGATACATTAACAGCATAATGAGTGCCGTGGTCATCAATCATTTTGATCGTTCTTACAACGATTCTCCGTGGACGCATTCAATGATGGGGGTGGAACTTTCAATCACAATATTTATTCTGAAAGAGACGCCTTCCATTGTACTCTGATTGAAAAGGTCTTGAAATTTCCTTTCATACATAATCGAGACACTTAAGGCAGTGCCACAACTCTGTGGAATGAGGAGGGGACCTTATTTTGGTGTAAAACTATTAAAAATCGATAATTGTGAGCTATTACCAACTCTAGCTATGGGCAGGCTACGTGATGAGCATAGTGGTGTTTCCTTAACAAGGCTACATTGTGCGTCATGAATTTATGGGAATTTAACCACGGTACTACTTTTCAGATGAAAAAACCCCATTCCGTTAATTTCCCGTTGTTGTTGTTGTTGTTGTTGTTGTTGTTGTTGTTGTTGTTGTTGCTGCTGTTGTTGTTGTTGTTGTTGTTGCTGTTGTTGTTGTTGTTGTTGTTTTAATGTAAAACTATGTTCTAGTTGTAATTTCTGCTGCTGCTGTTGTTGCTGTTCTTTCTACTGCTGCTGATTCTACTACTGACTGCTACTGTCGTTGTTGGTGGTGTCGTTGATGTTGTCGTTGTTGTTGTTGTTGTTGTTGTTGGTGGTGGTGGTGTTGCTGGTGTTGTTGTTGTTGGTGGTGTTGTTGTTGTTGTTGTTACTGCTTTTAGGGAAGTGGGAATAGTTCATTGATGTTTTCGGGTAAAAGGAGACAAATTCAGAGACAATTTCGAAAATAAGACACCCGAGACTTTCTAAATCACACGGAAGATTGTCAAGAGTCAGACTCAGACCCTTCACGTTGAACAGGCCTCTGAAAGGACGTCACAGCTTATTGTTCGTTACAACACAAACCCGTTTGCGATGTCAACCTTGCTGTCCATTTAAGTGAATTACATTTCTGCAAGATGACGTCCGTACACCTGTGAAATATGTAAGCACTCTGCTAGAACTGAATTAGACAGAGATTTTATAAAGCATACTACCTTTTTTGAGCGCTCGCCAACCACCGCTGGAA